GGTGGTGGGAGCCTGTAATCCCAGCTACTCGGGAGGCTGAGGCAGGAAAATCGCTTGAACCTGGGAGGTGGAGGTTGCAGTGAGCCGAGATCGCGCCACTGCACTCCAGCCTGGTGGACAGGAGGGAAACTCTGTCTTAAAAAAAAAAAAAAAAGAAAAGTACATAACTGGAAGAGTGGGTTCACCTCCACACACGGACTCACATGGGCCTCGACTTGGACTCCGCACACTTCACCCAGGCCAGATCATTCCCATCCTGCCACTGTAGTGAGGGCACTCCCCCTTCTAGGACACCAAAGGCTTCCAGGTAAGGCTGCCTCTTGACGGGTCACTCAGGGCTGCCTAGAAGGGACAGTCACGGCTCCCCCATGGCTTCCCCTCTGTACTTCCTGCCCAGGCAGGATCAGATGCCCCTCTGTGCCCTGCAACAAATGTCCTGAGTGTCACCACTCTTGGCCCACCAGGACATGGCCACAGGCTCACCCCAGAGGGCCTCACTCAGGGACAGGAACTCACAGATATCTGTCAATCCTGAGTCACCATGAGATTGGACCCCTGGCCTTCCCAACACCACTCAAGGCTGCATGTCTAGAGGGACGTTAGAAATATACAAAATAAACAGAACCAACGCATATCTGGTCACACATATTTCTTGAGGACCTACTATATCCTACTTTTGCCATACACTGATCTGTGTGCTGGGGAAGGGTGGTGGACACAGGCCAAGCCCCTGCCTGCATGGCACTTTCATGTGAGTGGGAGGAAGTAGGAAAAGAGACAAATCAAGAAAACAGGAGATAATGGGGACATCAGGCAGAGACGCACGTCAGAGCGATGGGCTAGAGAGACATGATGGTCAGACTGAGCGGGTGGAGAAGAGTTCTCCCAGGAGATGACCTAGAACCAGAGATGTGACAGGAAGATGCAGACGGGGGACCTGATGGACCCAGTGCGGCCCAGCATGGTGGCCGGGGTGGGGGAGGGTGTGGGCCGGGTCAGCATGGCTGGCAGGAGCCAATCTTCTCTGTGATGGGAAGGGCGCATTGGCCACAGGCCCCTGCCGCTGCCTGATCCTCCTGGAGACAGGGACAGAAAAAGGGAAGAACAGGATTCTGGGTGGAGTGGCCCACCAGGGGTGTGGCAGGCAGGCGGCGCCACAGCCAGGGTTCTCTCCAAACATGCTGAGGGGCCAGCCCAGCCCTGGCTGACCAGACTCACAGGACTCGGGCAACTACCCCTGCCTAGAGGAGTCTCAAGAACTGCGATGTTTACCAGCATTAAACTGGCCTTTCATCTGGAAGAACACGTAGAATGCCAGGGAAAGAAATTTTGATGACTTCCCTCATGTAAAAAGGGCTATGATGCCACCTGGAGTGGCAGCTTCTCTTTCTGCATCTTCTGGTGCAGGGACAGTGGGGTCTGAAGGAGACGGCCATCCCCTCCCCCAGGATCCCGTGCCTCCCTCACCCAAGCACGCAGCCAGCACAGCCTTGAGCTGGGGACCCTGACCCTGCTGCCCAGGGAGAGAGTGACTTCCATCAGAGACGAAGACAGCAGTGCAGAGAGTGACCAAGAACCAAGGGTGCTGGGGAAAGCTGGGGAAGAAGGGGGCTGCCCTGTCCCTCCCAGTCACATGCCTAGGTGCAGAGAGATGCACATTGCACTCCGGAGCCCCCTGAGGACGCCCCCCAACACACACCGCAGCCCACAGCCGGTATTATGAGCTCAGAGGCCTCTTATCGACAGGTCACCTATGGCACATGGATTAGCTCGTGTTTATAAAATAGTCTCCAAAAATGAGACTGTGGGAGACACAACATCCTGCATCCCCGTTCTGGGGGATCTAGCCAAAGCGGGGTCCAGCCTCCGCACCGTGTGCGTTCCTATTCCGGAATTCTAACAAGACGACGAGGACACAGGCGGAATCCCACCTTCCTGGAAATGCTCAGAGCTCCACCACAGTCTCACAAAGTTCAGTTCTGTTTCAGAATGCCACACTCTAAAAGTCAAGGAAGCAGCTGTGGCTTACCAGAAAGCAATTGAGATTGGGAAAGCATGTGTCTCCTTCAAAGTTCACGCAGACGACAGTTGCCAACAGAACGGCTGCTCAGGTGCCCCTGGCTGGGGAGGAGAGCCAGCGATTCCACAGCCCAAGCAAACAGAAACAAACCTTGCCTGTGCGAGACCATCACTTGGCTTTAAGGCCTTAGGGAATTTTTTAAGATGCAAGAACAATAATAAAGGTAGTTCTCCGGCCGGGTGTGGTAGCTCACACCTGTAATCTGAGCACTTTGGGAGACCCAGGCAGGTGGATCACCCGAGGTCAGAAGTTCGAGACCAGCCTCGCCAACATGGTGAAACCCTGTCTCTACTAAAAATACAAAAATTAGTCAGGCATGGTGGCGGGTGCCTGTAATCCCGGCTACTAGGGAGGCTGAGGCAGAAGAATCACTTGAACCTGGAAGGCGGAGGTTGCAGAGAGCCGAGATCATGCCACTGCACCCCAGCCTAGGTGACAGAGCAAGACTCCATCTCCAAAAAAAAAAAAAGGCAGTTCTCCTAAATATTTTACAGAAAACTTCCAGGTAGAAGGAATAATCCACACCAAGGTAAGAGTCAGAAATCAGAAAAGCCAGGTGAAAGGCCAGGCCAGAAACCCCCTCCTCCTTGCCACTCCTCCTGACGCAAAGACAAAGGAAGGCGGAGAGAAGACAGGTGACTGCTGACCCACATCCAGACTGCATCACAGGCTTCACCAGGAGCAAGTACAGCCTGGCTGTCTGCAAGCCTCAGCGCTCTGCTCCCTCCAGCATCACCTCCACAACCCGCACTCGGGGCCTGACTGCAGTCGGATCCCACAGGCTGTGAGGACGCAAGAGCAGGATCTCTCCTGCTATCATTTTATAAAATGCTGAAGGGAAAAATGAGCTCCACAGAGCAACCCCGAGGGAGCCCTGGCACCGAAGCTGAGTCACTGCTTGGGGCACACCCAAGACGACCCAACACCTCCGTCCTGACATCATTAGCAACTACACCTCCTCTCACCCTCCCCTGACCAAATCCCTGCCAAGCCTCTCCACCTCGACAGAGACCTCAGGGCCCCCAAAGCCTGAAATATTATTTGACCCTTGTTGGAAAAAGTTTGCTGACGCCTGATCTAAGCCAATGAGGTTGAGTAACAGAGATGAAAGAAAACATAAACTATAAAACACTATGAAAAAATTAAGTTCCAGGCCGGCCACGGTGGTTCACGCCTGTAATCCAGCACTTTGGGAGGCCAAGGTAGGCAGATCACGAGGTCAGGAGTTCAAGACCAGCCTGGCCAACATAGTGAAACTCCATCTCAACTAAAAATACAAAAAATTAGCCAGGCATGGAGGTGCAATCCCAGCTACTTGGGAGGCTGAGGCAGGAGAATTGCTTGAACTCGGGAGGCGGAGGTTGCAGTGAGCCAAGATGGCGCCAATGCACTCCAGCCCAAGCAACAGTGTGAGACTCCATCTCAAAAAAAAAAAAAAAAAAAAGAGAGAAAGAAAAAGGAAAGTGCCAATACAGTGCCAGGAGTGAAAGAAATGGACAGCTTCTAGCTCAGAGAGAATGGGTCATACCCATCAGAACCCAGCAGACTGACGAAGTCATGGGACAGGGGCCATGGCTGTCCTGTCATTAGTACACAGGCACTGCCCAATTCCGGGTATATGATGGGGATGCAATACACATCCAGTGAATGAATGAATGAATGAATGAATGAGTGAATGAATGGATAGGGAACTTCAAGGATCACAGGCACAGGAGCCTGGGGCACAGGAGAGGTTGGGTAGGTTTCCTGGGGGATGTCACTGTCTCTTGACTTGAATTAATATTCAGACAAGATTGGAGTAAAGACAAATCACTTTCATTTCAAAATATTCATGGCTGGGCGTGGTGGCTCATGCCTGTAATCCCAGCACTTTGGGAAGCCAAGGCGGGCGGATCACTTGAGGTCAGGAGTTTAAGACCAGGCTGGCCAACATGGCAAAAACTGAAAATACAAAAATTAGCCAGGCATGGTGGCGGGCACCTGTAATTCCAGCTACTTGGGAGGCTGAGGCAGGAGAATCACTTGAACCCGGGAGTCGGAGGTTGCAGTGAGCTGTGATTGCGCCACTGCACTCCAGCCTGGGCAACAGTGTTGGGCTTCCTTTTCAAAAAAAAAAAAAAAAAAAGAGAGAAAGAAAAAGGAAAGTGCCAATACAGTGCCAGGAGTGAAAGAAATGGACAGCTTCTAGCTCAGAGAGAATGGGTCATACCCATCAGAACCCAGCAGACTGACGAAGTCATGGGACAGGGGCCATGGCTGTCCTGTCATTAGTACACAGGCACTGCCCAATTCCGGGTATATGATGGGGATGCAATACACATCCAGTGAATGAATGAATGAATGAATGAGTGAATGAATGGATAGGGAACTTCAAGGATCACAGGCACAGGAGCCTGGGGCACAGGAGAGGTTGGGTAGGTTTCCTGGGGGATGTCACTGTCTCTTGACTTGAATTAATATTCAGACAAGATTGGAGTAAAGACAAATCACTTTCATTTCAAAATATTCATGGCTGGGCGTGGTGGCTCATGCCTGTAATCCCAGCACTTTGGGAAGCCAAGGCGGGCGGATCACTTGAGGTCAGGAGTTTAAGATCAGCCTGGCCAACATGGTGAAACCCCGTCTCTACTAAAAATACAAAAAATTAGCCGGGCACGGTGGCAGGTGCCTATGGTCCCAGCTACATGGGAGGCTGAGGCAGGAGAATGGCGGGAACCTGGGAGGCGGAGCTTGCAGTGAGCCGAGATCGTGCCACTGCACTCCAGCCTGGGCGACAGAGAGAGACTCCGTCTCAAAAAAAATAATAAATAAATAAATAAATAAAAATAAAAAAATAAAATAGGAAAAGATACTTGAAGTGGCAAATACAGAATCTGAACAAAGACAGTCTGAAGTTCATACTATTAATGTTTCCCATTACCTCTGAATAAACGTCTGGGCCGCCAGGAGGGGGACATCAGGAATGTCCACATTATCGTTCGTGGACTTGGAGTAGGTGATGCTCCCATGATCAATATTTATCAGAACTAAACCGTCAGCTTCCTAGAAAACAAGGAATCATCTGTAAAGATTGACAGAAGAATCTCAGAATTTGTATACCTCTTTGAAAACACATAAATATGTTTTGAGTTCACTAAGACAGTGTCATCATTAATTAAATGACCCTCTTTAAAATGCACACATAGGCCGGGTGCAGTGACTCATACCTGCAATCCCAGCACTTTGAGAGGCCAAGGCAGGCAGACTACTTGAGCCCAGGAGTTTGAGACCAGCCTGAGCAACACAGTAATGCCCTGTCCCTACAAAAAATTTAAAAGAAATTAGCCGAGTGTGGTAGCATGTGCCTGTGGTCCCAGCTACTCGGGAGGCTGAGGCAGGAGGATCCCTTGAGCACAGGAGGTTGAGGCTGCAGTGAGCTGAGATCACACCACTGCACTGAAGCCTGGGCAACAGAGCGAGACCCTATCTCAAATAATAATAATAATAAAATAAAATAAATGCACACATAGCCTCATATGTTCTACACAAAAATCTAGTATATATCATGAGCTACGTTAATGGGCTAAATTTGATTAAACATGCCTCTCTCTTATTTTTCTTAATTGTGGTAAAATAAACTGTATCAATGTAACCATTGTTAAGGGTGCAGCTCGACAGTGTAAGTGCATTTGAGTGGCTGTGCAGGCATCTCCCCCATCCATCCCGGAATGCTTTCATCATCCCAAACAAACGCTCACTATCCAGCACAGCTCCCAGCCTCCCCTCCACACGCGCACTAATCTGCTTTCTGTCTCCATGAATTTGACTCCTCTGGGGACCTCAAATGAGGAGATCCATGAACAGCATTTGTTCTTTTGGGACTGGCCTGTTTCACTCCACGTTGACGTCTGTGAGGCTCACCCATCTGTGGCATGGGTCAGAGCGTCCTTGCTTCTTCAGCCTGAATAGTCCGTTATGTGGAAAGACCACATTTTGCTTACCCATATGCCTTTCTCTTTCAGTGAAGATGCCAATACAGGCCGGGCGCGGTGGCTCACACCTGTAATCCCAACACTTTGGGAGGAAGAGGCGGGTGGATCATGAGATCAGGAGTTTGAGACCAGCCTGGCCAACATGGTGGAACCTCGTCTCTACTAAAAATACAAAAATTAGCCAGGCATGCTGGTGTGTGCCTACAATCCCAGCTACTCAGGAGACTGAGGCAGGAGAATCGCTTGAACCCGGGAGGCGGAGTTTGTGGTGAGCCGAGATCACACCATCACATTCCAGCCTGGGCAACAAGAACAAAACTCCGTCTCAAAAAAAAAAAAAAGAAAAAGGAAAGAAAAGATTCCAATACATGTTATTGTCAAGGTTTCTCCTACCCTGGTACAAACACTGCATGTACTGCTTTTCGGGAGTCTTAGAGGGAGCATTCCAGAACTCCAGTGAGGGCACCACCAACCCCCAACGTCCACTGTGTCGGCTCAGCTCCCCAGCTAGCTCTGCCCGTCCAAGCACAGGAGCACGGACAGGGGCCTGGGCTAAGAGACCACACAACCCTGGAATGTTTGAGATATGCACCTGATGACTTGGAGAGGCTATTGTGACAGAGTACACAAATACTGAGTCATGTGCCCGAACCCCGCACTTCAACAGCCCCCGAACGCGATGCCAGGTTCCTGGGGAAGGCCCCGACTCCCCGGCTCTCATTCTGGGCCCGCCCTTTAGAGTGCGGTTCAGGCGGCTACGTGAAATATGCGCAAACACATTCTTGGCCTCAAAACCTTACAAGGCAAATACACAAAATGCTAAAGCAGCGAGGCACGCCGCTGGTCCCCTGGACATGTTACCGCCCAGCATCTTTGGGAGATGCAAGAGGGTTTTGTGGAGGCGCATAGGATCACTCCAGCTCCTTCCTGCAGATCCCACCGCCAGCCACAAAAAACAAAAACACCCAAACAAACCCAGAAGAGCAGCTGCTTCTCCTCATATTTTTCACAACAGGTAAGTGCCTCAAAGGTGTCCCCCGCTGCTGACTGGAACTGCTAGGCTAACATGTGAAAAAAAGCTGTCCGCCTAAAACAGCCTGAAACACGATTTTCTTCCCCTAATGACTAAAAAAAGAAACAACTTTAAACTTCAGAACACAGCTTATTTTCTCGTCTGCGAGGCGGGATGGATGACGCTTTTCCGTTCCTTCCACGGAGGTCTGCCTGGCCTTTTCCTGAAGTGTGTTTTCCCCAGTGAGTCACTCGCCTTGGCAGGAACACACAAGCACGGTTCTCCCCTGCAGCGGGGACCCTGGCCCGGCCCAACCAACGGGCCCTTCCCAGCACCTGTGGGGGAAGCATCTGGAGCCTGGGATTTGCTTTAAAATGCTCTGGGAAAAGCGGGGCTGGGGGTGACTGCGAAGCTGGCAACAGGCTAAAGACTGTGAGGGGTGCATGACACATGCTGTGTTCTTCTATTTTTGTGCACACTTAGAAATTTTCAAAACGGGGCAAGGCATGGTGGCTCGCGCCTGTAATCCCAGCACTTTGGGAGGCTGAGGTGGGCGGATCACCTGAGGCCAGGAGTTTGAGACCAGCCTGGGCGACATGGTGAAACCCCGTCACCACTAAAAATACAAAAATTAGCCAGGTGTGGTGGCACGTGCCTGTAATCCCAGCTACTTGGGAGGCTGAGACAGGAGAATCGCTTGAACCCGGGAGGCAGAGGTTGCAGGGAGCCGAGATAAGTCATTGCACTCCAGCCTGGGCAACAGAGCGAGACTCTGTCTCAAAAAAAAAAAAAAAAAAAAAAAAAAAGCCTCCCAACCCAAAATAGAAAGTTAAATGTAAACCTACCCTGTACGAACCACCAATAAGCACAGGAAAAGACGCTGAACATCATTCGTCACCAGGGAAGTGCATATCAAACCACAGTGAGAAATCAGCTCCTCCTCACCGGGAGGGCTACCGTTAAAAAGGCAGACAACAACCAGCGCCGGCGAGGACGTTAGGAGAAGCCGGAACCCTCGTACTGCGGGTGGGAATGTAAAGTGGCATGGCTGCCTTGCGAAAACAGCTTCGCAGTTCCTCAAAGGGTTAAACAAAGAGCTGCCTAACGACCCAGCAATTCCACTCCTGGGGACACACCCGAGAGAAACGAAAGCACACATCCACACAAAAACTTGCACACAAGTGTTCACAGCAGCCAACAGGTATAAACAACCCGCACGGTCATCACTGAACAGTGTGATGAAGATTTTATCACGACGACCTCATTGTGAGTGGATGAACAAAATTCAGTCTATTTATACGATGAAACCCTAGTTAGCAATAAAAATAAAGTGCTGAGAGATGCTACCACGTGGAGGAGTCTCAGAACCAGGATGCGAAGTGGAAGGAGCCAGATGGAAGGACCATGCGTGGAGCGACTCTGTTCCCACGAGAGGTCCGGAACCGGCAAACCCAGAGGCAAAGCGCATGGGCGAGACTGTCAGGCCCTGGGGGCTGACTGCTAACGTGTGATGAAAATTTCCCTTCTAAAATCGGACGGCGGAGGATGGTTACACAACTCTACAAATATCCTAAAACCCACTGAATCATACATTTTCATTGGGTAAACTTTGAGGTATGTAAATTGTATCTCAATAAAGCTATTTTTAAAAACCAAACCCAGTCCGCCTCCTGGCATCACCGCAAGATTTAGCACGAATCCATCAGCTCACCCACTAAAAACATGCTGTGTCAGATGCGCAGAGGGGCCGCAACAGCAGCACCTGTGAACACCTCCCTGCTGTGGGCCCAGGCTGGCGACCGCCTCACTCGGCCCCCACCGGGACAATGAGGTGGGCACACTCACCGGCCTGTCTCCACTAGGAGACTAAGGGGTCCCGGCTTCGCCACAGGACAACGACACAGCCAGAGAACAGCTGCTTCTCACGGTACCCATGACCTCTCCGAGGTGCGCAGACCCCGCCTTCACCGCAGAGCACTGTCAGACGCGTCTTCCCATGTGTCCCCATGATGGATTCACAGGAATTTAGCATTCCGAATCAAAGGTTCACTACTTAACCTTGCTGACTTCTTCGAAGTGGTCGAGATGGCAGCCCATGAGGAAGGACGTGGGGGCCATGACGAAATCCAGCATCTGGTCCGACAGGATGGGCACGAAGGGGTACTGCCACTGCAGCGGATACAGGTAGGCCATGAAGCACTCGGCGACCAGCGTCAGCAGAGCCCAGTCCGAGGAGAAGAAGACGATCCGCTGTTCTGTCAGGAAGCATGTCAGGACCTGAGGGGAGAACCCGCCGCACTGAGTACACACTTTAAAAAAAAAAAAGGGCCGGGCGCAGTGGCTCAAGCCTGTAATCCCAGCACTTTGGGAGGCCAAGACGGGTGGATCACGAGGTCAGGAGATCGAGACCATCCTGGCTAACATGGTGAAACCCCATCTCTACTAAAAAATGCAAAAAACTAGCCGGGCGAGGTGGTGGGCGCCTGTAGTCCCAGCTACTCGGGAGGCTGAGGCAGGAGAATGGCGTAAACCTGGCAGGTGGAGCTTCCAGTGAGCTGAGATCCGGCCACTGCACTCCAGCCTGGGCCACAGAGCGAGACTCCATCTCAAAAAAAAAAAAAAGGTACAGACAGGGTCTCGCTGTGTTGCCCAGGCTGTGATCATAGCTCACTGCGGCCTTGAACTCCCGGGCTTAAGCAATCCTCCCACCTTGGCCTTCCCAGCAGCTGGGACCACAAGAACGTGTCTCCACATCCAGCTCATTTTAAAATTTTTTTGTAGAGACAGGGTCTCCCTATGTTGCTCAGGCCGGTCTCAAACTCCTGGCCTTAAGCAATCCTTACACTTCGGCCTCCCAAAGTGCTGGGATTACAGGCACGAGCCACCGCACCAGCCCATATACACAGTTCTGATTCAGTACAATAAAGAGAAAATGCTCGTAAACACACCACCCAACAAAACCAGACTAACTGCGGGCTCTTCCCTGGTCCCTCAGCTCCACCTGCCAAACAAAAGCCACCTGAGACTCTGCAAAGAGTGCCATTTGCAAATACCATGCACTGCAGGGAACGTTGGCTTTAAAAAATAATAATATACATTTTGAATATACCGGTCGGTACATTGTGGAATAAACTCGCATCTTCATCTCTGATCATCACTCTGATGCCCCACTGAGCCAGGGAGCACAAGACGTGCTGGTCGGGGCAGGGATGCGCACCTGCAGCACCTTCTCAGGCCGGAAGCACAGCAAGGGCAGGTGAAGGTCCAGGTCCAGGATGGGGCTTTCGGGGTCTGCTCGGGCAGGAAACACAATCTGGAGCGGCTTCATGTGAAATACCTACGACAGCCAGTGCCCACCATTAGTTCAGAGAGCTGCTCTGGGCAGAGGCTGACATGCACTAGAGTCACTATTTCGGCGCCCAGGGCATCAGACTTAGAAAATGTCTCTGAAGACACAGGCTGCCACGTTCGATTCTGCAGAACAACCGAATGGTCTAGAGATACACAGAACTGCCGAGAAAGGCTCAAACATAAATTAAGTACTAATGTCTTTTTCTAAGTAAGCCACAATTCCTTAAGCTCTAATTAATCAGCAGACTACTCATTGCCTAGACAGAGATAAACTACAAAGCAGATATTTGTCCCAATTAAGACAAATTCTAAATCAAGTATGTTCAAATTATTCTTAGGTATTATATATTCTTTTTAGTTACTGTATGCTATGAACTCTCTTAATATTTTCAATTGAACAGTCAAAGCTCCTTCAAGACATGTACAGTTAAAATTTTAAGAAAGACATTTTTCTAAATGTATTACTTTGAAGTCACACTTTGGTTCAAATTTTGTATTCACAGAATGGCTACTGAGACACGGCTGGACCTGGCGGAGGAAATCCAGAGGAGGAGGTTCAGTTCCTTCACTGAGGGAGGGCTTCTGAGCCTGCCAGGAAACAGGCTGCCAACAGCGAGTTCCCACCACCGGGGTGCTGGCATGTGGGAGGCCCTCAGGAAATGCTGGGTGCCCGGCTCGGCACCCGAAGCTCCAGGAAACGAGCAGAATGGATGGATCTAAGTATAAGCAAAGCACAGGGAGACAGAGAGGAGAGACGTGATCAGAGCAGACGGCTGAGACTCCATCACGGGAGCGCCTGGGAGGGTGAGAAATCAAGAGAAGCGGGGACCCGAGGTTGGCTGGGGGAACAGGTCACAAACAAGGCCTCCAGTGGCCCTGCTTTCTCCCAGTCACCCAAGTCTGTATTCTAAGCATGCCTGCACACGAGAAACTGAAAACAAGAAAAGGTGGTAATTTCTTGGTGGTGGGGATACCAGCATTGCTTCCTAACGAGACGCAGGTCCTTGAATAACATCATTCTGTTAGAATGTTGATAAGAAAAAGGAATTGCGTCCCAGCGGGGGGCACCTTCACATTCTCCTTGTGCCCGTGCCCGGCCAGGTTTTTTCCAGATCTTCTGGTTTCCTGCCACATCCTGAAGCCCAACCGGCCCATGCGGACAGGTCCCGGTGTGAGCAAGCACGGGAGAGCGTGGGATTGGCCCTGCCATAAGACAGCATCTGGCCGGGGCTAGTTCTTGCCTTGGCCCT